TCTACTTATGTAGCACAGTTTAGGTCTTTTAATTACTCTCAAATCATCAAAATACATCCTTTAATGTGCAATATAATACATCATTTAAAAAAGCATGTTCTTATGTTCCCCTTTGTTGCTTATTCGCTTATTCATCTTAAAATAAACAGAAATAAATATCTGCTTAAGCTTATTTTACATTTAACCATTCTCAGCTAATCACCTTTAACACGTAATTTTTAAAAATCACTTAAGGATCAAGCAATTCATTCCTAATAGTTAACTGTAACTTAAGCAACTAATTCTTTTTTAAAAATCAAAACAAAAATTTTAAACTCAAACTCAGTGTTTCTAAGCAGGGACACTACGTATAACCTCAATTTGCTACTGTCAAGGTCAATATTGGGATCAGTGAGTTCCCATTCTATGATACAGTTGGAAGATAAAGACCCATTCCTTCCAGGGGCAGCATTGTCCAGAGCTTTAAGCACAAGTGGGTCAAGTTGCACAGTGAACTCTCTAATTAATGACTGTTGCATTTAGTGTGCCCGACACCTCATAAATATACACTACCCAAATAGGATATACATTCCTCCCACCCAAAAAAAAACTTACACTAAAATTATCTTATTACGTGTTCCCATTGCATTTCCAGAAGTATGCAGCAAGAATGGACTTTTACAATCTTCTAATAATTTTTTTGTTTGTTTTGTTTTGTTTTGTTTTTATAAAGATTGTTTTTCTTCATGTTTACTTGATAGTCTGGAAAATCTATATTCCAGGAAATAATGATTTTCTGCCTAAATGTTAAATGTCTAAATAGCCAGAGATCATTTGCAAATAGTAAGCAGTGGGATAAATAATTGTACTCTGCAAGCATGTGTTTACATGGTCAGAAATATACGATTAATAATCTTTGTCTTTGGGGTTTTATGTGAGTATTGCATAAGTGTATCTGAACTGAGCTACTCTTCTGGAATAACCATACAATGCTTTATTGTTTTCTTTTCCCATGTTTCTGTGTATATGTTACTGTTTCAGTTTCATTTGTCAGCAAAAGTCTGTTTACCAGGCTTCCTGTTATTAATTAAGGGAAACAGGTTTTCTTGAAATATACAAGAGACTCTTTAAACTCTTGTCCAGATACTTCAAGACAAGATATTGATGATTCCGTCAATGTTTGCACAAATCTGGAAAATGAATTTAAATACATTGTTGCTTCACATAACCTACAACTTCTTATCTCCCACAAGAGTGGGAAGTGGGAGAGGGGAGACAAGTAATAAGAAACAAATCACAGTAGCTTCTGTCCCTGTTACTAGATACTGAGATAACAGAGGGTTACTTTCTTCCTTTGCCACAAGGATTAACTAGCAGATCACAATGTGGATTCTGAAATCTAATGGCCCACAAAAATAAGTTGCATAGATCGACTCAAATTGTAAAGTGCTCAAAGACAATGAGATGTATTCTAATGTAAATATACTCATAAAGAGACAAAAATACTGACCTGATTATTGGTGTATTACAAAGCTTTTCATATAGAAACATCTGGTCAGTCCCTCTAGCTCTCTCTCTTTGAAATGGGAAGAAATATACTCGCATGCATTAAAATCATAAAGGAACCAAAACATCTGGAAGTTTTAGAAGAAAAGCAAAATAGTTATGGGGGAAATTCAGATTAAAAAATGCAGATGTTTAATTGGGCTGTCAGTTTTGTTACAAGGAAATAAGAGCAGAAATAACCAGAAGCCACTGGTGGAAAATTAAAATAGTTTCATGAGCCCTTGCCAAGCTAAAAGCAATGAAATCGGTAACACAATATGGACAGGGGCTTTCTAAACTGAGATCTGAAAATGTTACCATGTGCAATTTTGTAAATTAGCCATTTCCAAAAAGTCTTTTTCATTAAAGCACAATAAAAGTTTTTCAGACTCTCCCTTCTCTCTTTGGTCATTAACATTGGGCAGTTATTCGGGGTTTGGCTTTCATCAATGACAAGCTCTTCCCCACACCCTCCTCACCCCGTTTCTAAGACCTTCTAATACTGCTGAGTGGCCAGAAATTACAGATGCAAGAAAAGCTGACAAATGACTGCCAGGCCCCTCCCCCAGTGCCTAGACAGTCAAAGCCCCTGCCAGAACATGCCTGAAAGCAGCGCTCCTAGAGACAAAGACACAAAGATTCCATTTTCTCAGTGAAAATAGATTTCATGTGTAAAACACTAGTGAGAAAAATTGAAAGCTGACACATATGTGCAATTTCAGAGAGGCAGGGCTGAATAATTCAAGATTGAAATTGCATTTGATTGCATCAAAGCCTAACAAATGTTGTTTAACCTAAAAGTCTTTTCAGTCTGTAAAAAGACATTCAGTGGCAAGATATTTTAAATTTTTTTAAGCACATGGCTAAAAAGGAAAAGGAATCTTGAGCTCAGTAGAGAGATGTTGATTATATACTACTGTTGGATTAGGAATTAACACTGGCTCACATCACAGGTTCTACAAAATAAGGGGGAAAAGTTTTTTTTTTAAAAAAATCCATTAAATCAAAGGGTTCTGAAAGATAATATTAAATCCTTATGAGTATGTTTCCTATAAAAAGAATCCCCTCCCAGCAGCCCCAGGGTATCATTACTGGAGAGGCAGCGAGTGGTTTATTAGAGATTCAAACCTTGGCATCTGAGCCTTGCCAAGCATGCAAGTTTTAGCTTGTGTGCCCAGGGCCTTGGCTTCTGCAGTCCCTTCTTCTGGCATCTAACAGTGAAGGCCGTCTGCTTGGCCTCCACACCACACCAGGCAGTGCATAGGTATAAAGCCTAGGACTGGGAGACAAAGAAAATTTGTCATTTACTAAGGATGGTTACGCTTTTCTTCCTGCCCGCTTACATATTCACCCAAATCCATTCAGTATCATTTTGTTCTTAACACATAGGCTCAATACTTACAGAAAACTTGGCTTAATATGTTTTAGAAAGTGTTAGACCCTTAACAGGTGAAAGTATAATTAATAGTAGCTGTCAGGAGTAGTAGACCAAGAAATTGCACTGGGGACGTTTTAATTAAAAAGAAAGTTTTACAACAAATTTTTAAAAAATTGACAACACACTTTGTTCTCTCTCATCCCCTTCCAAGCTCCTGAATTTCTTAAGTTTATTTGGTCAATAGGAGGATCAGACAGAGAAAAGAGACTGAGAAATTACTTTATAATCTAATGAGAGATAATTGAAAGGAAATTGAAAGGAAAGAGAATATTAGGTAAATCCTATGTCTGTTAAATGTTTTATACAAACTCTTTAAGTCTCAGAGCAACATTCATGTCAGGATACATTTTCAGTATCATTTCTAATCTAAGAAAAATACTGTGGAGTATTTAAACAAGGTAGTTAAAATATTTATTAATAAAATTAATATTTCATTTGAGATATTAAAATAATGTGAGTATTCATCTATTTGTTTATTAAATGGGAGCACTGGTTTGGGAATTTGGACTTTTTAGCCCTATTCAGCTACTCTGAAATCTCAGTGAGTTTTAGAGCCTTAGTTTACCTATCTATAATATGAAGAATTTTGCCAACTGAAGAAAATGGGCACTAAATCTACAAAGCCAGCACTGACTACAAAACGCTAATATGTCGAGTTGAAGGGAGTGTGCAAAACTTTTGTTGTCTTTTAAAACTTTCAAGCTTGATATGCAGAACAGTTCAGTGTATTAATAAGGACAGGAAGTCCCTGGTGAATACAGTAAAATAAATCAGTCCAAAGGTTCCAAAGCTATGTAGTCACTACACCAAAGACCAGTTGATTTGTGTATTTGTTCACTTTTCAGAATGTTTCACATGCTATAAAATTAAATCTGATACTCTGTGACTTTTAATTTATTAAAGTATATCTGCTTTATTTATATTTGTTTATATGATTGATTGATATTAACTCACCCTTCCTTTGTTAGTCATTTAACTACTAAGTATATGTACACAGAATAGCTGAGTGAGCCAGTGTGAACCAGAGTGACCCAAAAATCCAGCCAGAAAAAGCAGGCAAGATTATGCCCTTTCCCAGTCTGCCAAGCCCACTGCCTCTGCCTTGGAAGGCAAGAACAGCAGTGGATGACATGTAAAGCTTTTCAATATACTTCCTTGCAGTTTCAGCCAACAGGGTCATTCACACCTCTTTAGTTGTGCTTCCTAAGCAGTCTCTAGAGCTTTGAATATAGAATACCATGGGAAGAAAACATATTGTAATATAGAACATGTTCAAGAAAATATTGATAGTGCTTTGAAATGTAAGTAATAGAAATTCATTCCTGCAGAGAGAATATGTAATGACTAACCTAAGAAGGTCATCAAACTTATAAATTCTAAGCAGTCTCTTACAGTATTTTTTTAAAACAAAATATCAGGATTCTATACTTCAATATTGAAAAGAAAAGAAACAGATTTGTTTATCTTTATTTAGCACAATTGAAGGGGGAAAATCACACTTCTTAATCATGTTTAATATTTTCTTATTTGAAAATTTATTATCATGGACTAGAAGAACGTTGTTAACATAAAATAATATTATTATTAGGTAGATAAAGTCTCTTTAGAGATACTGGATGATTTAAAAGCAAGTATATTTATATAAGATGTTTGAGAATAAAATCTTAGATTTTCTTAACAATTATGCTAATATTTAATGTAATATTTTAAAGCATTTCTTTGCATGGAATATGCATTGAGAGAAAATGTAGACCTTATATTCAATTAGTATACCAGAAATATCCAAAACCAGTTTATCTTTTCACTAATCTCTGGTTGCTATTTGACAAAGCTTATTTATAGAGGAAAAAAAAAAATGTTTTCTGCGACCAAATTAGTAGCCCTAGAAAGGAGAAAATTTAGAATGTGAAAAGTTGGCAGATCCCTATGGATTGTTGAACTGGAAAACATCCCCATAAGAGGATAAAAATAAATTTCAGCTAATTTGCTCAGCATGGCCTGAGTTTCACATAATATCTTTTTGTTTTGTTTTGTACAGAGATCCTGGCAACATTACCAACAATCAATGATGGAAACCGAAGGCAGATTGATTTAAATCTTCAATGACAGTTGTACAGAAGTTGAAGAAACATGTCATGTTTCCAAAGAAAAGTGAGTAGCTTGGTTGGTGGTACCCTAAAATTAGGGCATCATTAAGGTACGTCATTTCTTTTAGTTCAATCGAAGTGCTTTGCTGTTTCAATTGTGGAGAATTTCTTCTTCTTTTTTTCAATCTCTCTCTCTTCCTCTTCTTCCTCTCATTAGTAGATGTCTTTTATAATTGATGTCATTTACTGTCCTTTCATCAAATGTATGCCACATCACTTAGGCGAACCAGCAGACAGGGCACCAAAATACACATTAGAGGAGACTGGCTTCCATGAGACGCTTCAACTGTCTCATCGGGGCACTTGTAATAAGCATCTTGGTGCCACTGAATGCAATGCTGTATTCAAATAATAGCTTTCATCTTCACTCTTTTTAAATATAAAAGTAAACCTTGAAGCCCTTTGAAGGACCTAACCAAACAACATACCTATGAAAATAGATCAGTAAGGCTTTGAGAAACATTCTTAAGTAAAATCTGTAAAGCATCTTTGCATTTTTTTTCAAGAAAGACCTCCAGGTAAATGATGGCTTTTAATAAGACATATGACAATCACAATTACAAGAATCATTAATGTGTGTCCTGTGTGCTATTTTATGTTCCCAGCAGGATATATCTTTTCTCATCTAGGGTTTCCAGGGCTGTCTACTGTTCTCTATGTGTAAAACGTATTTAAGTGTTCCCCCAATGCTGCAATAATGTTGAAACAAAACAAAACAAAAACGAAAAAACCTTTGTCAAGTGGTCAGACAGACTGGAACTAGAGGATTATAGGTAAGAGAGATAAAATGAAGGGTTGAAAGCTATAATTTCTATTTATGTGGTGGCAACCAAATCAGCTGTTGGAGTCAGGCAATTTAAAGATGTGGCTACTGGAGCTCAGAGTCTGGGAAGAAGACACTTCTGCGTCTGACAGTGAATCAGGCTCCCAGTTTTGAAGATGTACTGTAGGTGATTCCTCGCTGAATCCATTTCCCACTTAGTTTCTATTCTCCGACCCTGTGTCTCCACACTTTCCACTTGATTTTATCTCTTTGACAATTCTATATTTTACTTTCCTTCCTCTCATTCCCCTTTTCCCAGTTTTTTTTTTTTTTTTTTTTTTAACCTGTAGTTTCTTGGCCTCTGACTACTGTTCCACGCTGGATGTCCCCAGAAAACAGAGTATGTTTAGAAAGGAGACAGTGCATCTCAGAAGTCCCCTGTCCACTAGTTCATGTTTGAAGGTGTTGTGCTCTATGGGTATCAGAAACATTTGTAGATGAAATAATTTGAGGCATGAATTTTGATAGAAGCAGGATCACCAATGAAATGATAAATGTAGGTACCTGTTTACCTTGCATAATATTCACTATGATCTTGAGAATTTCAATGTATAATTTGTCTTTACTCTTATTTTTCATTAGAATTAACAGAATCTCAGAGCTGGTAGAAAGTATAGAAACTGTATATACAACTCTCATATTCAGATGAAGAAAATGACGCACAGAAAATCAACTGTCCTAAGCCATTCAGCTTGTCTATAAGTGCTGTTGGCTTAATTATAGTTTTGCATATATTTAGGCGAAGGAAATACTTTCTCAGAAACTGGTTAGAACTGTTTGAGAAGAAATATAATCATCAAAATATATCCACAGTAAAATGTAACCATCCATCATTCAACATAGGCAAGAATATGTATTGAATTGCCTGAGTGTATTATTCATATAGCAAAACTTACTTGAATTGCTAATAAATCTCCTGATCTCTGTATATGTATAAAATATATAAACCCAACCAAATTCTGTACATAAATAAATATTATTTTTGGATACCAGTACAATCCCTATTTCACTTTTGTGTATTCCAGTTAATTATTACTCACAGTTCTATAGTTTTAACCAGAACAAAGGGATTATCCAGAAGAAAAGAAGGTAAGCTATTTCATCAGTTTTGTTGGAAATCAGAAGTTTTTTTTTTTTTTCTATTATTAGCTTTGCATTCTTAAACAAGAAAAAAGAAGGAAAAAAACTCTCATCTTCTCATTCATAAGAATTCCCATAAAAATTGTCAGTGGTGAGGTGGGGAGGAAATGCATTACCAATAAACAGCTATATCCTACTATTGGGGACACTCAGTTTTATTCTACAGAAAATATAGTTTGTTCTTGAAGATGTAATAGACATAATATTTTTAAAACCAACATATTAAATATGCCAGTAAATATTTTTGTTAAACAAGGCTTTTAAAATTTAAATTACACCCCTAAACTGGCTTTCTAGTTTTTCTAGAGAAATAAAGCAATTTTAAAGGAAATAGCCACTCAGATTAGTATTTCAAATATCATACAAAGTGTATGTGGTGATATTACTGAAAATGAGGATTTTTGAAAACTAAAAAAGCAAAAAGTCATTGCTCTGAAAGCCTTCAAGACTGCCTTAAGGTTAACAATGCAAGTCTTAGATGTATTTAGGTAATCATAATTTAATTAGCTTTCTAATTCTAAACATATTTTGACTCAAATGTTTAAAATATGGTCATCTATTCAGTTAAAGATGAACATTTTGATGAAATAGCAATACTTAAAGGGTTCTCCATTTCCACAATTAAGTGCTACCTATTATTTATTCAGAGCATATGTTTCAGTCTCAAAACACTGAAGACACATCTCAGTGAAATAAAAATAATCTTTTTTTTTTTCTTTTTAAGAAATCAGAATATGTGGCAGTCGGCAGGCTTAATTTGTATTTTATGGGCTCCAAATTCAGATGAATATTATCAAGATCTGAATTGTCTCAATGGCTGTCATAATTCAAATAATAATGTCAAAAATATAAACTAGTATCATATAATTAATTTGTATATATGGAAAATTGAATTCTCTTAGCCAAAGAAAGTAGAGGGAAATCATCACAAAGGAGAGTGAACATGACTATTTTTTCCTGTTGTTTCTATAGACTTCTCTGTAACAATTGATATGAAAATATCATCAGAATTTGTAGGTGTGCAGTATCTGTGGTATTAATAAAGGTATCTATAATCAAATATAGCAGAAATAATTAGGCTTCACGCCAACTGCCTTTCCTAGAATCTTCAGGGACAGGAAGTGCAGCTGTGTATCACCTGCCCATATTCTACAAATAGCACTGAAGGATATAACTCAATGAAACTTGAAACCAGATTGCACAAAAATACATTATTCCCAATTTTTTATTTTTTATATTTCTAGATAAATTATAAATTCACAGCAACATTTGTCTATTGTTATCTTTATGTTGCAAATTATACTAAATTTTGAGTGACATCTTTAGACAAGGAAGCCTAGAAACATCCTTTGGCTAAAAAATAAAAACATCATAATGTACACTAGAGAAAACATTTCTAGAAAATATACCTTTCATTGTGCCTTTAAAAAGTAAAAGGCACAATGGAAGGTATATTTTGATCAACAGCTTATATTGTTTAGAAATTTGACTGTGATTTAGTATTTTGTCAACTAATTTTCAATCACAAGAAAATTTAGAAAGTCATGAAATAGAAATAAAAGTCTTATTAGGAATAGTAATTATATAGATAGTGAAATGACTAATTTTTATAAGGAGTAGTAATTTCATAATGTAATAACTTCCTTTTCAGAAAAAGAAAGTGATTAACAAAGCTAAACATTCACACAAGGCAATGTACCACATAATTCAAAATGCCAGTGCAAAAATATTAGTTAATAAATAAAGATTCAATGCTGGTCTGTAATAATTAGTCATAGTTTCTGCACTTAGAAGGAAAGCTGTCCCTGGGAGTTGAGAATTAGAGTCGAAACAGAGATTTTGAGTATAAGAAAAGTGAATTTCATTCATGTTGCAGGGTTATACTGCTATGATGGAAGGCTTTCATTTTTCAAGTAGGAAACATGGAAATTACAGTAACTATGGCCAATTTATATTGGCCTAGAGAACACTATTTTTCTCTGGGCTTGAATTTCTCAACAGGTGCCACTATTGATATTTTGGACCAGATAATTCTTTGTCCTGAGGAAATTTGCTGTGCATTTGAGGATTTTTATCAGGATTATTGACCTCTCCCCACTAGATGCCAATAGTACCCCCTCCCACTATGGTGATATCCATATATTCCCAAATGTTCCCTAGAGAACAAAATCTGCTTAGACTATTTGTCTAGGCAAGTTTGCTTTCTTCATTTAACTTTATGCAAAATGAGTTTGATTGGTTCTTTGAATTAACATTAATAGGAATGTTGCACAGGGAAAGTTTATGTAGTAAGTTAAGAAGAGCTCTACAATGCAAACATTTCTGCAGGATATAAAAATAAGAATATCAATAGTATATTCATCTCTTGAAATATTTGCTATACAACACATGTTGAATGTTGAAAGATGTTGAATGTAGGCTCATATTTTGTGCATTATTTGAAAATTTGCAATGTAAATAAGGTAAATAGATGCAAAATGTTTGCCTTTGGGCATGAAAAAGTTTTCTTGTGTGTTATAAATACGGTAATAGGTTTTTAGAGGTAACTTTCTTTGGCAGTGAACAAAACAAGACCCTACTATGATGATTCTACCTGGAGCTGATTTTAACCGAAGAGTAGCCTCCACTGTGCCTTTCCATAAATGTTGGTTTTGTCCATGTATTAAAGCACGGATTTCTTGGGAGATGACAAATATTGAGAGTGAAAGATAAAATCTGAAAAGAACCTGGGAAATCATCATTAAATTGAGCTGATAATCATGTTTAAATATGGACTGTCAACTTTTTTTTAACTAATGATGGGATGGTAGAGAAGCTATTAACTTAATACACCTCTGTGTGTGTGTGTGTGCGCGCGCGTGTTTGTTTTGGTGGAAATAAATAAGAAAGGGAAAAATAACAGTTACATGGAATATAGTTACATGGAAGCTTAGGAGGCAAGTCAATAAAAGAGAAATATTAGAGTAGTATGAAACCTTAAGCTTTACACAATTAAAAAAAAATATATTATATGGAATTGATCCATTATTGTTTTAAAAATGGTGAAAGTTGTTAAACCAGTAACTTTTAGCTTAGCTCATCTGTAAAAAGAAAAAAGCTACATGCACTATTCATGATTTATTAAATGTTGAAGATTTCCCTTCAGTATAAATTTATAACTATCTAATGAGTGTGTGTGTTTGCGTATATAGCTTCCTTATTGAGCACCTGGAATGACTTAGCTGATTTGCCCTTTATTCTTTATGACTTTCATGGATTTTTTTTCCCCAAAGCTCCTGAGAATTATTTATTTATTTATCATTTATTTATTTATTTATTTATTTATTTATTTATTTAGGGGACTGGTTCTCGCTCTGTTGCCCAGGCTGAGGTGCAGTGCTGTGATTACAGCTCATTGCAGCCTCAACTTCCCTGACTCAAGCAATCCTCCTACCTCAGCCTCCAGTGTAGGTGGAACCATAGATGTGTGCCACCACATCCAGCTATTTTTTAAAAAATTATCTGTAGAGATGAAATCCTCAGGCTGGTCTTGGTATCCTGAACTCAAGTTTGGCCTCCAAAAGTATTGACGTTACAGGCATGAGCCACTTCACCTCTCTAGGTCACTTACTTTAAAACCCTTTACTAGGTGATGTGAAGGTCCCAAAATTTAAATATACCAGTATTTCTCTTTGATTATATTTTTAAAATTTGAGATTTTATTTTATTTTATTTTATTTTATTTATTTATTTTTTTTTTTGAGACGGAGTCTTGCTCTGTGCCCCAGGCTGGAGTGCAGTGGCGAGATCTCGGCTCACTGCAAGCTCCGCCCCGCCGGGTTCACGCCATTCTCCTGCCTCAGCCTCCCGAGTAGCTGGGACTACAGGCGCCTGCCACCTCGCCCGGCTAATTTTCTTGTATTTTTAGTAGAGACGGGGTTTCACCGTGTTAGCCAGGATGGTCTCGATCTCCTGACCTCGTGATCCGCCCGTCTCGGCCTCCCAAAGTGCTAGGATTACAGGCTTGAGCCACCGCGCCCGGCCAAAAAAATTTGAGATTTTAATAAGCTATCTAGATCAATGAATGTTAAAATACATTTTTCTTTTGTAGACCCAGCATTGTTCACTAAGGATAGATATGGGATCATTTCCTTTCAGGTATTAATTGTAATGTTGCTGAACATATTACCATGAATCTGTAGTATCAAAATTCAGATATTAAACTTGGGAGGATTTATAGTCCAACTTGTAGTAACTAAATAATAAAATGATGGCATGATTATAGTTCAAGTTTTTTCTTTATGAAGAGCTTAGGGTAACAATGCTTTGTTTCTGTATGTTGCACTTTTAAATTACAGTAAAGTCTTTCCCTGATAACAAATAATATGACATGCAATAAAGGGGAAAAGTGGATATGAGAACTTATCCTTGCCAGTATATTTGAAATGTGACAAAACATGTTTATAGTGAATATGTTCAAATTGAAACGAAATTACAATTTCCTTTAACCAAGTACTGGGTCACTAGTTCTTCCAGCTTAGTTATTGAAGAAACACTCAGCTACTATAGATTTGCTAGGCCAAAGTGTCTCAAACGTTAGCTGTGTCAGAATTACTTGGAGGGTTTATTGGAATGCATATTGCTGGGCTTCATGTTCATAGTTTCTGAGAAGTTGCATTCCTAACAAGTTCTCTGGTGATCCAGTACTATAGAGAGTCATTGTTCTGGAGACATGCTTAGTTTTAGGTACAACTTATTTTGACTTGAGAACTTTCTTTTTATTAAAATAGCAAAGGCAGTGTAGATAAAAATAAAGAAATTGTATTCATTTGGGTTTTCTCATTTGCAATAGACCAAATCAGCATTACCACTGGAAAGAATGACTTAGGAGAGTGGTTGTTTTTAATGAGAGATTCTTTACATGCCAGTGAAAGACAGGAAACCTTAAAAGAAAAACAAAACTGATAATCAACTCCTAAACGGGGATTTGAATTAGCCAAAACCTTTTTTTTCAAATGCCTACTACAAAGTCAAAGTTCATCTTCCTAGACTAGCAAAAACTTTGTTATCAATATTTTTTATATTTTCCCACAATTGTCCTTATTTCACCTGCCACAAAAGAATTAATCATTTTACGTCCTCAGTCTTCAACCCTCCCTAAAGTACCAATAGCTCTTGTCCTTCCATATGTCATCACCTAAGTGTACTTTAAGACCCCACTAATTCAATAACTTTATTTAGAGTTTGACAGGATTCTATTAAATTTAAGGTATATTACTAATTAAACTAGAGGGCATCCACTATAGTGAATAAATTATCCATGATTAAAAAAAAAATTCAAAGGTAGACAAGGCCACCTGCAGCCATAGAGGCTGTGTAACCTCGGGAAGAAAATTTATGAGTTAATGATAGGAGTGGCACTCTCTGGAATTGTACAATCCAGTGTCCCTTAGTCAGATATAATAGGCCAGGTTTAGCAAGACAGGCATAAAGTTCTATCTCTAACTTCAAAATTCTACAGAATGTGGGAGACATGAAGTAAGAATGGCACATGGGATTTTCGGCTGTTTAGTTGACCATTAATAGCTCAGTGTGATTCAATGGTGATATGTAACTGTCCTCAAAAACTAGGAAAAGCTTAGAGTTTTAGCAGAGGATAGTGTATCTGGTATGAGTGAGATGAGAAGTTCCTCTCTTCATGGCTGGTAGAATGAATCCAGAATTGGCAACTTCACATAACTCTCGCAATATCCTCAACCCTGCCTTATTTTAGGTGAAACGAATGCACCCATTATTCCACTCATATACAAAGAAATTTAAGCTAATATCTATATTCAGTACAATAAGTCCTAAGGACCCTTCAACCGAAAAAAAAAAACAAAAAAAAACAGAAATTGTCAAAGTGAATTTCTTCAATTAATTTCACTTTAATTTGTGTGGACAAATATGTATTGTTTTTGACACTAACATATATCAAAATACTGTAGTCTTTAAAATTCCCATATGGAAATATGGCACCGTGATTCTAGCTTCTGAATGCAAAACAGAGTTTTCAGTAATTTGTACTCTCCTGACTACATAGCACGAGAAGTTGAGAAAGAAATTCTTCTAGGTTGAATACTGGGAAAATCATCATCTGTTTCCTCTACTCAGTCACTAGTATACAAAGAAGGCCTTAAGCAGATTTGCTGATTAATTTATTGGTATCTAAACATTTTGTTTTCTCTTAATTCAGTGGATGAGCTATAGTACTGGAACATTTATAGTTAAACTTTGTTGTTTGGTTATTGTCCTTATAAGACCAACTTTTGCTGATAAAGCATATTAACACTTACAGACGCTTTATAAATCCAATAATACAGCTTTGAGAGCATTTACTCTGTTTCCCACATATTTTAATAAGTCTGGCCCAGCCTTTTCGACTGAAGCAAATGTACAGACCTCTACACTTCAACATGAAGACCTCCAGTTCATAATGTGCATATCCAAAGCACTGACACTAATGCTGTATCCAGAGTTTTCAATGGGGAGGGTAATCTGTGATAACAAAATTGTATCCCTTCCTTCCTGCAATTACCTCACTATCCTCACAGCCTTGACATCTGGAAACCCACTGCTACTGTAGCAGCTGTGACTCCTCTCCTAGCAGGAAGTTAACTACACATTCCAAAGAGCACCAATTGTTTTGATATTTTCTGGCAGCTCAAAAAGCTTGGATATTGGTGAACACATTATTTTGTGGCAACCACATTTTGGAATTATACACAAATGTACAACATGTCACATTCTGAACAACTTACAGGTGTTAATGTTGTCTTTCTCTTAATGATATCATATTCCAAATGTAATCATTTTAAATATAGAGTAGTATAGTAGGGAATTAAACCTCATTCTGCTCATATTCACTTCTGCCATCATTTTCTCAAATGATCAACATGGAAGAAGACTACCCAAATATATACTCCTATTTAAATCATTGGAAGAGAATTAATTAATTTAAGTTAGAGAGTAAGTATTGCGAGAATTATCCTGCTCTGTATTTCCCCACATAGCACCCCTGTTAGGAGAGATTTTCAGATACTTATTAATTTTCTAGAAATCGAAACCTCCAAAAAAAGAGCAGAACTGTTCAATGTTGGGCAAATCCAACTGCATTTTAGCGTCACCAAATGCCTAAAATTATTTTGTGTTTTTGAGCTGATAAACCTATATATTGTTTAGTCAGAGTGCTCTTATTCTTTAAAAATAATCAAAGGGATCACTGCTGGATTGATTTACTGTAAATTTATCTTTGAAATGGCTACAAATAATTGTTATTCTCACTTTAAGAGCATTAGTGTCTTTTGTTCATCAAATTAAGAATGAAATGGATTTTAGTACTGCCCCACAATTACTTTGCTAATCAAAATGATTGCCAATGATCTCCAAGAAACTAGACTGTCTTGCGACAGAACAGATGGAGGATTGCTTTGATTCACAGAAAAGCTCTGCAAAAATATAATTAATTACATATGATTTTGATTTTGTTTATAAATTTTATTTTTATTTCCATTTTCCCTCTTCCCTACCTTTCTTTTAAAATTTGGCAAAGTTTTTCAATGTATATTTTTATTTGACCTAATTTCCAATTAAATTTAATATTTCTCCTTGCTTAATTATTTCTTCTGGAATTTTACACTCATAGTGATTAAATCTCAATCTCCCCTCTCTTGTTCTCTTTCTTTTTTTATTCTCTCTTTCTCTCTCACACAATTTAATAGTTCATCTTAAGTGATTGCTGATGCCTTGTATTCAGTGACTAATTTCTGATATCCTCTTCTGGTTAAAAATATTTTTGCAATGTATTTATAATATATTTTGTATTACACTGATTCTGTGTATGTTTAAGCATTTGATCACTTTTATCCAAGTGTTCCTATGTAACCAGAAGATACTGTGCATTCTCATATTATTTTAATGCTCCACTGTATACTGCAGGCTTAAATAACCATAAAAGCAATGTTTGTTTAGAAA